GCTCGATCACTTCTAGTAGTCCACCTCACCTTTCCTCATCTGCACCCACTCTGGCATGTAGTCATCACCACTCCCTTCCACCTCCACCATTCATCATCCACTCTACACTTGCTTCGTACCCGTGAGCACAGCATAAGTTTGACATACTTGACCTCTAATCCTTGCTCCAATTCTACAAATTATGTTGAGTCTAAAATAGTGACTATCAACGAAATCAAGAACTCTGACAAGGTTACAAACAGTGAGTGATGAACCAAAATTCAAACTCATATCTTATTTCATAGTCAAGGTTCTTTTTAAAATTTCAGGCATCCTGAAGTATCATTCCCCCATGACACTCTACTTATCAAACTCTTGGGGTTCTTTCAGAGTCTGGCTCAATTTTCTCTCTTCCATGTAAAGTCATTTCTTATCACCTGCAATGTAGTAATTGGTGGTTACTCAGAACTCCCACTGTCCTTACTTGTCTTTGAATCCCTCCCGTGGCACTTAAATCTTCTACTGCCTCATTTTGTTCGTTACCTGTTCCTCCCTCCCTCCCAGCCCTTTGAGTCCTAGAGTCTCACATTTGTCTCGTGAACACAGTAGCCACTCAACTGTATTGTAACTGAGTTTTGTATTTTGATATTATTTTCTATGCAAGCTTGAGTATCAGCTAGTATAATTTTAGTTACTGAAGTTCAACAATCTGGGCACTTATGATCTCACCAACTAAGAATGTCAGGACAAGCTGATATGAAGGCAAAAATATTATCAAGGACCCAAGCTCTTTCCATTTTCATTCCACTCTTAGGACTTTTGTTTGTTCCTTCACAGAGGCAAGAAGGCTGCTGAACTTCTGAGAATCACATGGAAACAATTTCTGTCTCCAGACAAGTCTACTGCTCTTCTTTCCTATTTCATTAGGGAGGAAAAAATTTTCCAGAAATTCCTCTGCAGATTTCCCCTTATGTTCCTTTGGCCAGGACTGAGCCATTTGTCCATGTCCTAACTGTAGACAGGCTCCAGAGAGTGTCTCTAACAACTCTTGCCTGCACTGTGGGAGCTGGCTCAGCCATTAGGGTAGAAAGGGGAGAAAAATTGCATGGGAAATATAACCAAAATGAAAACGCATACATTGTGCCAAAAATGAAAAATGATGTAAGAATTATATAAAATAAAATATTTTAAAAAACAAAAGAAAGGGGAGAAAAGTGGTGCTTGGAGAGGACAGGCACCAATAGTTTACCAATAACACCAGTAGAGAAATGCTAGTGCAATGACAAGCTCTGTGCAATGAATCTTGTCCATCTCCCAACAGATGAAGAAAAGGTTTTTGCTAATCCTGTTATAAGAGGCACTGTTTGCTCTAGAGGTAGGCAAGAAGAGAATTAGAATTGGAATCTCCTAGTTCCTTAGTCAATAAATTGTATGCACAGCCCTTTGCCTCAGATCTCTTCCACTATCATCACCATCACAATTTTTGTCAAAATCATATTTAAAAAACTGATGCAAGGAAAGGCAAGAAGCAATAAACCCAGCCCTTCTGAGCTTCCACATAGTTCTCCAAACATTAAAACAGGCCAAAAAAAATAAATAAATAAATAAATAAATCAAGAGACTTAAAGAACAGAAAGGAGGTCAATAATTTACGAGTCTGCCTGTTTCTCCTATTCTTTTTTGTTGCATCTAAAGATGGTTGGCCTGGTCTGGCCACTAGCGCCACTGCCACCACCACTACCAGTTCTGGAATCAGCATAGACATACATCAATGGGAACCATTTAAAAATGTTGACAATGGAAAACAACAGTCACTAAAGTGGAGGTGAATCAGAACCAGTTCCCGTGGGAAGCTGTGCAGGTGAAACGGTTAAGGGAGAAATGACACAGAGCTGGGTCTGGAGTGCATATTCATTTGTGCCTTAGAGGGGCAGTGGGGGCAGGTGTTATATAAATGTACACAAGTGTGCTTTTTGTATGGAAATTTCTATAAGGATATCTTAAAACTTGTAAGTGGTGGTTACCTCTGGGGAATAGGATTGGGAATCTGGGGACAGGGTTTTAGAGTTTCTTTGGGCACAGGTTGGTTTTATTCATCTTATTATTTTGTATATATTTTTACAGTTCCCAAGGGCCTGCACCCTCAAAGTGAGATTAATATGCAAACATCTGCAAAATTTCATTAACATATGAGAGAGACTTCCTTGTTTCCTCTAAGGACCTATGATTTTTACTAGTATCAGGATTCAGGATAAACATTTTTGTAAATTAAACTAACTTGCTGATTCAGTTTATGTGATTTTATAAAGACTCCCCAATGAAAAGAGGGCTTTTAAATCCCCTTTCCCAAGGAAGTAAGCTGTACGTGAAAAGGTAGTTGTAAATGATATTTTATGGAACAAAGTTGGAATTGCCAAGTTATAAATAGTAAGTTTCAAAGAAAATTGCATTAAAAAGTAATGTAAACTACACATGCAATTTGCAGCAACATGGATGGAGCTGGAAGGGATCAGCTCAGCAAAATAAGCCAGAAAGAAAAAGAAAAATACCGGATGGTCTCACTCATAGCAGGAATCTAGAAAACCTAAATAAGGGACCAGGAAAAAGAATGACTATAAGAAAGTAAAAAATCAAAATCAACAAACAACTATGAAGCAGAAACACTCTATGGGGAGGGGGGGGGAGAGGAAGGAGGGATTGGGGTCAAAATAAGGGGGATGTAATTGTATGGGGAATATAAAAATAAAATTTAAATAAAAAAAATAAAATGGTACCTGAGGAAAAAAAAATAAAAAATAAAAAGTAATGTAAACTAATGCTACACCGTTCTTAGCAACTCTTCACAAAACCCAACTCTTCAAGTGACCAGTGCTATTGGAACATCTTCATGGAGAGCACAGTTTCCCAAAGCTCAGAGCTGTGAACTGTGTGGGCAACGAGTTCACACAGAGGCTCTTCACTGAGCCCCCTCTGGAGCAGACAATGGCCTGTGTCACCTATTCATGATGGGGGAAGTGCCAGAGTGTGCCCAGTAGCCATTTGCATATAGCATGTTGGGCTCTAGATGATTAGACTGTTTTGTGATTCTTGAGTTTTACTGGTTTTGCCCTCCCAAAATGGTTTCTGGAACAAGAACTACAAAAAGCAATAAAGCTACCTCTTTGCGGTTCTTTTAACAGCAAATCAGGACAGAACTGCTTCCATGAAAAAAACTGTTGATGGCCCTAGGATTTAGCTTTATTAAAAAAAAACAAAACAAAACAAAACAAACAAAAAAAAAGTGATGTTTTCTGCTATTTTTTTAAAAGATTTATTTGTTTTTATATAAGAGCTGGGGTATGGGCCGGAGGTGCAGGAGGGTGAGAAGATTCACCAGAGACAGAGCGGGGAGCAGAACAGGCAGGATGACTGAAAATCACTGCTGAGGGGAGCAGCGGGCGAGACAGGAGAGGTCTGCTGTGCTGTGCCACAGATGAATCTCCCTGGCTGACCAGGAATCAAACCCGCACTGCCGACGCTGTGGACAGCTTCACAGTGCTGCGCTCAACCCGATGCACCACCAGGGAGGTCCCTAGGATTTAGCTTTAAATGAGGCAACATTGAAAACAAATTGCAAGATGTACTTGAAATATTTACTTTTTTTTTTGTGGGACCCTCGCTGGCAGCCGGGGAACGAACCGGCGTGCTGCAGAGGCTGTGGGCTGCCTTGCAGCCCAGCACTCAACCGCTGCACCACCAGGGGAGGCCCTGAAATATTTACTTTTAATAAATTCTGAAAACATTAAAAATTGGCTGGCATTTGAACATGCACATGCCATAAAGACCTGGAAATTCCATTCCCAGGAGCAAGTGACACAATGCAACAAGGGGCTTTGCTGTTAGAACAGCTGGCCCTCCATCTTTTATAACAAAAATTTATTCTCCAAGATGCAAAGGGTCAAACAATAAGCAGCAAATCCCTCTACCAACTTCCCACACCCCTTGTGCCCAACTGTTTTAGTTTCCAAAGACTGTGGATCATCATCAATAAGCCCACCTTTGTGACAGTCCACACAAAGCTCTGATACATACTCAAAAAAAAAAAAAAAAAAAAGAGCTGAATTGATAAATGCGTTCAAATATTTTAATGCCCAGGAAATTAAAGATTATATAGTTATTTTATGGCTATACACAGAAGTCTTTCTTGACACAGACCCACACACACAGCCACAAATTGAGTATGATTTTCTCTGAGCTGGCACAGCTCACATGGTCAGTTCAGGTAAAATGAAACTTTCCTTGCTCCATAGGGAGCCCCACATCTGTCATCACAGGGTGTCGGGGAGCAGTATTACTCAGGCACACCGTGCTTCCTGCTGCTGCCTCCCCTTTCCGCACAGCTCTGAGGCTGCCACACCTCTCATGATAGAGGGACAGTTGCTGACACTGTCACATAAAGTCAGTTTTATGGAGTCTAAAGCTCCCAGGGAGAAGGGCTGTCAAAGATGACCACATGTCAAAAGACTGGATGTTAGTGTACAAAGGTTCCAACTCACCCCGCTTAGACGCAGGATTACTTCCAAACGGACAGGGCAGCGGGAGGGAACTGGCCCTTTTCCAGTGAGTAGCTGGCACACTGAAAACCAGATATTTATTCGTCTATTAAATCACACACACTGGATTTACGTGTTTTTAAATGATCAAAGGGGGAATTTAGTGCCTCACTGGGAGTTTAGGCAGTTTAAATGCCAGAAATCCACTGAGAAATGAGGAAAAGATTTGGGCAAACACAAAAATAACAATTAAGAGCACAAAAGCAATCTATTTCACTTAAGTACCTCGTCGGATATCACTATCAAGTTCTGCAATACTTATTTACATACTGATAAAAACAGGAGAGCAGTGAAGAGACTTACCAAACATTACTCAACAAACCAGGGAGCAAACAGGACTGGGGACCAGCTCACCCTTTTGCCTGAGAGGCACATGAATCTGCAAGGAAGGAGATTAGACGATCCAATAGCACCCACCTTCTGACTCACCCTGGGCTTGAGAGACACTGCTCACATCTCTGAGTATTCCTGTGTTTGTCTCGGAGAAACTCCACGCCCTGCACTGGAACCAATGCAGCCGCCAACAATAATACACTGTATTCAACCTCCTGCTGGACAAATGGGGGCTTTGTGCTGCCAGAAGAGAGGATGGGTAATTCTGGATCTTTGCTGGGAGGCAAACTAGAATCCGTCCTATCATCACGCAGCTCTGGGATTGCAACAGGACCAGGATATGGGTTCAATTCAACAAATGCTGATTGGCCAGAGTAAATGCAAAGCAGGGAAGTGAGCACAGGACACCCAGAATGAATGAAGGCAGAGTGAGCAGTCAGAGGCCTACAGGCTCAGGAAAGGGCAGGAGCTCAAAGGTAGCGAGGGGGGTCAGGAGATGCTCCGCTCTGTTGCTTCATTCATGAGACAGATGCTCACTGGTGCCTCTGGTGTCAGGCACAGCACGATGTGATAAAGAGTCAAGAGACACATTCCTCAACCAGACCAGGGGCCAGGGAAACCAGGGAGGCCACTGATGAGGCCATGAGAGACGTGTGGAAGGTGACACGAGACAAGAGAAAGGGGTCAATGTTGGTACAAGGCACAAAGAGCCTGGTCAGCAGAAGGTGCGTCAGAAAAACAGAGTTCTGAATCAGTCAGACAGCAGGCAAGGATTTGGAGGACACAGCGCAGGGCAGAGAAGAACTAGGACAGCAGACAGTCACCAGACCCTAGGGTGCCAGACACATCATGCTAAGGTATTTGGACTTCATCTGCTAGGCCACACAGCAGCTCCTAGAAGGGCTAGGGTGACCGGATCCCTGTTTCAGACAATTCCTCAGAACAGGCCAGAAAAGGCATTTTGGTAGAGCAAACTAGAGCCTTCTGTAGTCATCTATGGGGAGAGTTTCCAAGATTGGGTGCAGGGTGGTAAGGAAGAAAGGGTTAATGGCCTTTGAAATATAGCATCAACATGACACAAACTGGATGTGGGGGATCAGAAGGCAAGGAATCGAGGATAACCCATTTCTGTTTTACTCCTTCTGGTGGCCGGTAAGATTACTCACAAGGTGGAATATTACTCAGCTATAAACGTTAACAAACTCTTGCCATTTGCCACAACGTGGATGGAGATGGAGAGGATAATGTAAGCAAAGTCAGAAAGAGAAAAGCAAATACTGGATGGTCTCACTCATATTTGAAATGCAGAGAAACATAACAAAGTCAAAACCAAAGCAATAATGAACTCCTGGCATCTCACTGCAAATTGAGGCAACCAGAAGGGGAGGGTTGGAGGGAAGCAGGGGAGCCAGGGGGGCCAGTGGAACATGGTGGAGTATTAGTGGGGCACTAGTGATAGGACATCTGTAAAGGTTTAAACCTATAACCCCCTAAGCAAATACAACAAACTTTACCTCAGTAAACATAATCAGAAAAAAAAAAAAAAATAAAAAGATCATTCACAAGCTAGGCCACAGGAAGTGATTGGGGTAAAGGGGAATTCCGCTTCAGTCATGATGAGTCTCAGGTTTCTGGGGCACATTTAAGCACAGATAGCCACACACACATTCACAGAAAGAAAAAAGTGGGCAGGACTGGGGCCCGTCCACCACAGTGCCACGGGGGTCCCTGAGAGGACACACCTGACCTTAGACGTCTCCGCTCAAGTCCCAGCTCTTCCACTTCGTAACCGCATGACTGTGGGCAAATAAATTAACTTTTTATGAGACTCTAGGCTCATCTCAGGAAATTCCTCCTGGAAAAGAGCTCAGAAAAGGACTGGAAGTCTTACCAGATACAGAAGAGAGTTATTATTTTCCTCTTGCCCTTTCGTGCTCACATACGGCTTTGTCTCATAATAATTCGAGCACTAACCCTTGTAACAGATAACAAGCTTTCTTGCTGTCAGTCACTTGTCTTTAAATCCCCTTTGACCTCCTTTGTAGGAACAGATTCTCAAATACTTAAACTGCTGGAAGTCATGAAAAACTCAGGCCAGAACAGGCCCAGGGGACCAGAGGTTTCTGCCCTTGACATTAAATAACAAATGCACAGATCCCAAAATTATTATGTGATTTAAGTGGTACTGGTTTAATTCTGCACTGGGGCAGGATGTGTTGGGGAAGAAAAAGGTAATGGGCTTTGGGAAAGGCAGGATTCTGCCAGTGTAATGAAGGCTACTCAAAATAACGGAACTTTACTCTGTGTGTAAATCTTGCCCTGCAATATTTAAGAGGAAGGGTGTGTCTACCCAAGTTAATACTGTATGGCCTTTTTCCTCTGGCTCAGTTCAAGTAAAGGTCTTAAATAAATGTTAAATAATAAATTCTAGCAAATGGATCTTGCCTTAAACCAAATGTTAAATCAATAGTATACTTAGCACCTAAGAAATATGTACTTTCTTTGGGAGTCTCATTTTGCTCTTTTATTTATAACTAAAATATTAAAAAAGGATAAGAACTGACCATGAAGGCGTAACAATTCAATTCCACATAAGCAAGCTTGTTCATTTTTCTTGCGGTTTTGTTTTCATATTTGGAGTTTTAACTTGTCTTATCTATTTTTATAGCTGTTTTCCTAACCTAAAAAAAAAAAAAATCTCGGTCATTGGGTATTTTATTTCATCTCCAACTTAACCATTCTTTCATCCACAGCCCAGTCCAGCATACTTGTTTCACGTTGTCTCAGTCCTGAAAACATCAAAAACGAAAACCCAGGTTTCTGATATAAAATTGTTTGGTAATTGCCTCAAAGCTTTCTAGTCACTTGGCCCATTCAATTGTTTTTGATTAAATGCAGAGACTGACTAAATCTAGAGCTATGGTCTTCCGAAATTGCTTTATTTCTGGCTGTCTTTTAATATGGCCATGCGGCTGGCCAGGCATGTCTAGCTGGAGAGGACAGTTAGCCGAAGAGCTGAAAAAGAACATGTGCTCTTCCCTCAACATGCCTAGTCCTGACCTGAAGTTCTTGCCACTCTCAAGACTTTATGTCCTCCCTTTAAACACACCTCCAAAATCTTGCATCTCATTGATAAACAGATCCAAGACAGCTCCCAAATCTTTCCTGGCTTGAATAGAGTCAACTACTTTTCTGCGAGTCTATCAGATCTTCTATCTCACTGCCAACTGGAGGCAAAACAAAAGCAGGTAGATGGCCTAACTGATTACATGGAAACCGCTCTAAGCCGGCACCATCCCCACGCCACCTGGCTCTATGTCTTCGTTCTCAGACAATAAGGAGATGCAGTTTGACTGACCGAGACATAATTTGATGGACTGCTGAGACATAATTCTCTCAATATAACATTTCTTTGAAATGTGGGCCCTCCCACATGACATATGTTACTCTGAAATATACTTACAACACATACACAAGCTATTCCACGACTCACATTAGAGGTGCTGTTTAAAAGGAAGAAAGAGCACCTTATCACTAATACTTCCACCAGACCTGCCCTACAGCATCTACGAAAAGAGACCTGTCATCTCTCAGCAACAGTTTCCCATCATCCAGAGTGCGGTTCTCTCACCGTCACATTATGTTCCATGGTGTCTGACTTTCCTCAGAACCCAGTTCAGCTTGTCACCTCCTGAAGCACTCTCCACACACATTCAGGGTTAGTTAGCGGCTTGGTATCCTAAAACATTCTCTATTCTCTTGTTCCTCTGCACTCCCTAGACACCTTTTAATTTTGTCTCTTTCTTAGGAAACATCTCATTTAATTCCTTCAACCAGAGGCCCGAAAGTGAGCCTCAAGTTTTAAGTAGACAAGGATAGTTAGCTGCTTTCCTGTTACATCAGAATCAATTGGGGCAGGAAAGTCTTTTGAAAATAAAAATTTTCCCTAGAAAATTGGTACAAGCCTTTGGAAGGACCTTTTGTTCCCAACTATCCTTACTTAGCGGACACATAGCCCTTGACCCAGCAGTTTTGCTTTTAGAAATTTACCCATACATGGTTACAGGAAAAAGATGTACAAAGATAGCACAGTATTACAAAGCAAAACAAACACGGGGAGAAAATAACCTTAGAGGAAACTTAAAATGTCCATCTACAGGAGACTGGGTTAAATAAATGAATATATACCTTTTGTGTAGAAAACATTTCTGTAAAGTTACACAAGAAACAATAATGCTTATCTCTGGAGATAAAGATAAACAGCTGGAAGGAGGGACTTCATTTTCTACATTATGCCCTTTATAGCACCATGAGCATTTTTTCCCCCATGAACTTGTACCTCTTAAATTAACAGGAAGAAAAGAAGGTGAACCTTCATAACTTAGGTTTCTGTGCAAGACCTACTGAGCAATTCCATGAATTATTATTTCATCTTTGTTAAACTGGCACAAACAGAAACTCTCTAGAGCAGGTAGACACTAAAATGTGTTTGCTGTGGCAATTAATGATCTCATGTGACATTCTGGGAGCCCTTAGAGTTACTGAGTCTCAGGACATCAGGTTTTTCCTTTAAGGCACTTGCTGAATGTGTGGCAGACTCAAAGCGCTAAGTGGCTTGATTTAACCATTTCCTTGCACTGAACATCTATGTTTCCAGTTAGTTTTACTTTGGCAATTGGGGTGAGATTGGGAGGAGAGGGGAGGAGCCCACAAACTTTCTTAAAACCTTAAAGAAAAAAAGGACCCCTCCCCGCAAAACCTGTCAAGTTCAAAAAAAGAAAAGGAATGATACCCAGGCCCTGTACTATATAAATCTTAATAAATCTTTGGGTCTAATCTTATTTTTTTAACAGTCTCCCCAGATAATTCTTCTGTTGCTCATACTTCCTCAACACAACAGAAATAACTATGCTCAGCAAATACCACGTCTTATCCAAAGAAAACAACAAGCATAGAGTAGAAAATTCTATGAATGCAAGTGTTCACTTTAACTCTACTCCAAAATTTATAGCCTTTTCAAACATGGATTGGAATGTGGGAGTAGGCAGACACCACGAGGCCCTCCCATCTACACAACTCTTCTGGCTCATGTGGTTGTGAGGGGCAATTTGTGGGGAGTCGTGTTTGGGGCAGGAAGGGAGTGCAAATTGTATCTACCAGAGTTTCCCAAATTGTGACAGCAATCACCTGTTCTGCGGCCCTCCTAGACCAATGTTGGGGGGCAGAAACTACAGGTCTGTGTTAAGACTGCTTTCCTCCCACCCTTAACTTGTGCCCAAATAAAGGCTGATAACTGAGCTTAGTCTGGTCCAAAAGATGACCTGGGGCCCCTGCTATCCTCACCCCACCTCACTCCAAACTGAGCGAGTCAGATCTCTAATAACAGTGCCCCAGGTTATTCTTATAAACAGGGAAGTCTGGGAAATACCAATGCAGGTCAAACTCCATATTTTAAGATAAGGAAACCAAGGCGAAGAAGTTAAAGAATTTCTCGAAGAACCTAATAGCTGATTAATGATAGCAGGGAGACCTGATACCCAGTGAGCTAATTCTTTCCTCTTATCCTACTTAGTCTTATGTTTACATGAGCATATCTGTGAGGTTTCTGATCCACCGTGAAGAGGCCATAAATTACGAATGAATTCTGAACTCAGAGATGTCAGAACCTGCCTCTGGTTTTCACGCCAGGGTTACTGACGCTGTTAAATCATTCTGCCCTTTCAGAGTTCTTTCACTTTCAGTATGAGGTCAGATGTCAAACAGCAGGTAGAGAGAGAGAAAGGTAAATACGGCCCCAGACATATGAAACAAGAACAGAGGTGAAACAAGAACAAGAACACAGGTGAAACAAGAACACAGCGGATGATTCAAAGTCCTTGTGTCTCGCCATTCCTTAGTCAAATATTAGAAC